AATATCCTAGGCTGCTTTCTGGATGCATATGTATGTCATCAGCAATGCAAGCCTTGAAAGAGTTGGGAGTGTGCCAGACATCCCTGTTCCTCTCATTAAGAACTGAGTCCTTTCATTTACTTCAATAGTGCTGGTATATTAAGCCTGGCAGGTCAGTCTTTTGTGAATGGCCAGTAACTGACTGTGTTGTTAATTACAAAGCATATTTTGCCAAAAGATTTTATCCAAAAAGGCATGCCAAACAACTTTTAATTCTCTGACCTCCTGCTATATGTTTCTTCATGTTATTCAAGATGAACTTACTTCATGGTGAGCCATGGCCATACTGTTGGAAAACCATGAGGTCCCAAAGTGGGCGTTAATGGAACTGGCCCCACCACTACTGTCTGAGATAAGATAATACCCGAGGAAACTGATTAATATTCTTGGCCAAAATATTATCAGGTGCAGAGTCAGCTTCAAAGGTCAGGACTTTGAACGCAATTGTAGACCCCAGTGGTCAAAGGTTTCATGGAGCCCACTCAACACCAGAGCACATTTTATAGGCAATTATACTCTTAGCCAGATGCCTTTTTTCTTCTTTTTCGTGTTTGAACCTATTCAGATTGTCTGCTCTCCGATTAGGCTCACCGATTAGTAAAAGCAGGACCCTTTTGTAGTGCTGCCTGTGTATTATAGGACTAATACTTGCCTTACAGATAGATGGGGCTTTATTAAGCTTTGACTGTGCAGCTGTAGAGAACATAATATGGACCATGTATTATAATGGAGTGGGAGAGGGCACTTTTTTTAATACTCTTATGTTGAGGGTCACTGCATTAGAGAATAATAATTTTAAGTGAAACCACGTTTCTAACAAGGGGCCAGATAATGAGGATAAATGAAATCTGCAGACAGTCTCGGGGCTTCATTTCAGCCATTAGTTATAATCTCTTCTACCAAACCTTTTACTATGAAACAACATTGATTAATTTGCATGTATTTCTTCTCCCTGCCCACACATGCTCACTGATAGAATGAACAAATAGAGAAATGGACAAGAGAGAAAAGATGATGGGGCTGAGGCCTGGTACACTTGGGGATACATAAACCCCAAACTGGATAATCAGCTAGGGAATAATCAAGATAACCAACATTAATCTTGATATGTAATTATTCTGAACAATGTTTAAAAATGAAAGATTGTATAATATCACTAGTAAAAATGACTTGCTATGGAATGGCTCTGAATAAATATGGCTTTCTTTTTAGCATGAAATAGAAATCTGTTGAACTGGTCTGAATGTTCACTCAACATACAGATATAGCTTCCTTTAACTCCATATTCTCTTAGCTATAAGTCCTACATTTCATATACTACAATTCTAGTTGATTTATAGCTCTACTTAGCAAAAGTACAGTCTTGACTAAAACAATATTATAGTAGCTGATGGACCTTGAAAGCATTTTTTCTCAGACATTCTAATCATTTTGAAACTGACCTGCAGAGTCCCGTGAAGCTAGATTTGTAAGTCTCAAGGTTTTGCCTACATGCCTTTTTAAATTTTTTTTTTGGGGGGGTGGTACAGTTAGGTAGGGATATATTACTGCCTGATTGCCATTCTGTTCCTAGATACTTTCTCTTTTTCCATCCTAAGACAGTTACTAAGATAGTTTTAGAGCACTCTTACTTCATGGAACCCCAGTTCTCTATGTAACTGATCCCATATTTCATTGATAACGTCAACCATAGCTGTTATGAAACAGCCCAGCAAAAACCATTTAAGGGAGAAAGCATTTATTCTGGCTTCCAGTTCCATGGGGAATACAGTCCATTGTAGTACCGAAGGCAGGGTGGTAGGAGATGAGGCGAGCACCTCCCAAAGCATCCATCAACAGTTGAGAAACAGGCAGAGAGAACAAGAAGTAGGTCCAACTATAAAGCCTTACTTGCCCCCACCACCTGAATTACTTCTTCCAGCAAGGTCACAAGCTGGACACGCGTCTTCATGGCCCAGGAGCTTATGGGGGAACTTTTCATATTCAAACCATGGCATCATTCACTTTGGTGGAGAAGACTCGGGTTGCAAAGCCAGCGATTTCCATAGGCTGATCAGAATTGGTTGCTTCCACTCTCCTGTATTACTTCTTCAATGGAACTATTTGTTGGCACCCGTGGTCCAAGTACATTAAAAAAAAACTACTGCTTAGCAAGTACCAAAGAGAACATTATTCCCATTCTCCTTGTTCTGCTTGTTGAAAAACGAGTCACCCTAGTTTGGGCTTCTAGCTTTGTGGAATAGCTTTCTGAACAGTGAAAGCTTCTCACAAAGCATTTACTTTAAAATGACCATATTTATAGGAACTTTCAGTTGTTCAAATCATAGGAACCCAGAAAAGTAAATGGCTTTCTTTTTTTAAATCAAATTTGATGCCTGGGCCTTTTTACAATAAAAAAGTAAATAAACAATCCTGTTGTTGAGCAATTTTTATTTTATTCATCATGTCCAAGTTTTGATCTCAGATAAACAGGTTTTTCAAGAAACAATTCATATATACCATACAATTAGTCTTAGCCTCTTTTAATTATTAAATTACTGAGATTTAAAATGTCAGAGATTCTTATTGAAGAGAATGTGTTCCTATAGAGGATTATATGTCTAAACTATCCCATCACCTAAGTAATTATTTTCCAATATGTAGGCACAGAGCTTGTAGTTTGCCAGAGCTTGCATGGTTATTAGAGATTATCTAGTTTAGCATGTTAAAAATTGTAAGGAGGTACTCCTTTTCCAAACCATCCTTGCTGAAACGTGAGTAGCCCTGCAATTCTGATAATATTTTCATCCCCTTCCTCTCTCCGAGACAGTTAAATATCACTGATCTTTGCCTGACACTCTCATCATGCAGATAAGGAACCTGTCTCAGAGTTGTGACTAGACATCTTAATAACACCAAAATTATTTTCAATTTTAACATGACAGATTTTTGATAAATAGAGGTAACGATTCAAAATTCACTGCAGTGAATAATAGAGCATAAATTACCTGTGCTGTGTATTTTGAAGAAACAAATTATGAAGCATCTGATATTGTCAGAGACTAAACTCTCAGAGTCACTGATCAGGACGTTAGTATAGAGAAAGTGTCAGATCTGTCATTGCCTCAATGCTGTGTCATACTTTGGGGTGACTGGTAGATGCCCTTCATCCTGGAAATATTTGATAACTAAATACTCATGTTTCCCCTCAGCTGTCCACAGTCACATCCCACAGTGCCTGAGAGGCCTTAATGCAGTGGTTTTTAAACAGCTGTCTTGGTTGCATTTTTAGCAAGAGGAGATTCATGGGAATATTGATATCTAATAGATAGAATAGCCACAGGGGCACACTTTAATAATAATTATAACAGTAATTGCTCAAAAGATCTAACAGGCTCAAAGGGTACATGTATGAAGACAGGATGAAATCCATTTCCCAGGGGACATTTCATTCCCTGAAAAACTAGAAAACTTCTGCCAAAGGGCAGAAACAGCAAAAGAGGTTCTCACTGGCACCTTTCTCCTCTAAAACCTTAGCATACACATGGAAAGCGTATGCCTGTCTTCACTTATCTGCTCTAAAAAGAAAAAGAAGTCTCTGTCTGGGAATGGTGTGTCCCTGCCTTTACATCCTTTACGTCAGGCAGCCTTATACTCTTCTTGGGAACTCCTAATCTGAGGTACCTAGAGAAAGGAGAGAATGGAATAACATGGTCCTACTTTAAAATTTACATTTTTATTAGCAGTGTGTTGAAAGAAGTTAAGAACTCTGAATAACTTCTCTTCAGCATTGTGTACTATTCTGTCAGGGGAAAGGACCACTTCCTTTTGATTATATGCTAATCAAAGGGAAAGCACATTGGTTTTGCTTCAAAACAAAATAAAAAGTGAAAACCAAAACATTAGCAACCAGTCTTCCTACAGCCAATAGACTTCTCTTTTCGGGTGTCACTAAAAGTTTATTTCACACTTTAAAATGTTATACAAAATGGCCGGGCGGTGGTGGCACTCACCTTTAATCCCAGCACTGGGGAGACAGAGGCAGGCGGATTTCTGTGAGTTCCAGGCCAGCCTGGTCTACAGAGCAAGATCTAAGACAGGCACCAAAACTTCACACAGAGAAACCCTGTCTCAAAAAAAAAAAAAAAAAAAAAAACACCCTACAAAAATGCCCTGTCCAAAGGTAATTGGAAGTCTTTATTGCTGTTAAATTGACACATATTATGAAATGGACAGTCTGATTGTTTTCATTACTTTTTAGTCTTTTCTTTTGATCAGGGTCTCACTATATAGTCCAAGCTGCCCAGGATCTCGCCATGTAGCACAGGTTGACCTCAAATATATGATTCTCCTGTCTTGTCTTCCGTGTGTACCACCAGCCCAGCCTGTTTTTTTCAGACCTATCGGACAGTGGTAGTTTGCCTCCAGATGAGTTAAGGTTTTGAAGGAACTAAAGCTTGAGAGGGCCTAAGTACAGGGAGTTTGGGGCTATAACCTGAAGTCGTGAGTGTGACTGCATGGGGTTTTGCTGTCTCCTTGAAGGCTTTTCCTTATTCCAGGTGGGGAAGTGTGGCAGGATTCTTGCCATCAACTATCCTACTCTATGCCTGTAGTTTGTTTCAGATTTCTAAAAAAAAAAAAAAAAAAATAGCATAGCCTGGTATATGTTGGACATATATAAGTCAGCATTTTTTCAGTCTCTATGGATATCATACTGGCCTTCCAATCCAAAATCAGTGTTGGAAAACAGAACTACTACATCCTTCTAAAAACAAGAGGAAAGGGTTGGACACTTAGCTCAGTGATAGAGTACTTGTCTAGCAAGCACAAGTCCCTGGGTCTGGTCCTCAGCTCTGAAAAAAAAAAATACAAATATATAAAAACAAGGGTGGGGAAAGAATTGCGTTGAAAATTAAATTATAACCTTTTCTTTCTGTTTCCATAAAGAAGTCTGTACTAATAAAACTGCCAATTTCTTTCAGGTGGGTGTGCATGGCATTAGAATAGAATTCATCAATGAAAAAGGATCAAAACGCACCGCCACCTACCTACCGGAGGTTGCAAAGGAGCAAGGTCATTGTTGGACTTTATTTCATATGCTCTAGTGAAGATTGTAAACTGAACTGCCGTAGCCGACCTTGCAGATATGTCTGATAATTAATTGATCGACATCACATTATAATAACCGACTCTTTCATCACTGACTGCCACTGCAGTGTCTGGTTCAAACTGGTGAATTACACAGAATCTGCATCTTGACAGTGACATTTGACAGCATATACTCATAAATACATAGTTTCAAAATAGCACAAATTTATGAAAGTTGGGGTTTATTTTAAGCAACAGTTTGTTACCACTTTGGAACACAATTTTCCCATGCACCAGTATGCAGAACTCAGCATGGTGGTAGAAAGAGGCCTTAGGCTTAGAGACAGCCGGGTAGCTTGATGGTATTCACTGTCAATATCTACCAATTCTTCTTAGGTGATTGCTATTATTATTCTTAGGTGATTGCTATTATTCATTCTGCTAATATTGAAACTGAAAGTTTCCCATTAAGATTGGGAGCTTTGTGAATACATGAAGTAACACTTTATGTTTAGTCTCTACTTCATGATCAATAACAATTTTCTTACTTCACAGATATGCCACACATCATTATGAACTAATATGGTGACTCCAGACAAATTTGCTATAGTACTTCATCCTTTCTAGCCACTACTAAACTCTAGTCTCACATTAGTTTAAATAAATGCTTTTCAAAAATTCTTTAGAGCTTATCTTTTCAGTAACCACTTAAAATGTGCTTTTCCTTGTATATGCTCATACAAATATGAAAGATATAACAACAAATTTTAATGTGTTAATCCTCAAATGAGATGTTAATCTTTAAGGCAGTTATGTGAAGATTTGTTTGGATTGCTTTAGAAAATGTCTTAATACTACAGAATCATTGACTTCATAAGGATATTAGAATAGCATTCGTATCAGAAACAATAAAATACCCTTGAATGTTTCTCATAAGTATAGATTATTGAGCATAGAAGATACCATTAAGACCAGCAATCACCATGAAATAGTCATGGGAGCCCCAAATACTACTGAGTTAACACAAGTCATGTTTTATTTATTTAGGCTTTCTCTCCCTTTTGAAGGTATGACCATTAAAGAAGAGCACATTTGTTACAGAGACATGACTGAGTGGTTTCTTAGACAATTTAAGGCATGTGGTGATGAACCTGCTTCTATACGAGGATAAAATCTTAGCTCTTCTGTAGGACTTTGTTTAGGACCAAAGGAGTTGATGGCATTTGGTCACAGTGATAGCTGACCTCTACAGAGTCATTTTTGTATTTAACCAGTGGTGCTTTGTGATACGTGCTTGACTGATATTTTGTCTCATTGTCTCCCCGCAGGATGGGACCATATTCAGACCATAGATTCCTTACTGAGGAAAGGAGGATACAAAGCTCCGATTACTAATGAATTCAGGAAAACCATAAAGCTGACCAGGTACCATGGCATTTTGTAGCACAAGACCAACGAGTACACTTCCAAGTGTATGCCTATAACTTTGACTTCTTTGGTCTCTCAAACAGCACTTGCTTCTCTTGTTGAAAATAGTGGAAACAAATGGCAGGCCATACTGAGAGTGGATACAATAGGACTCTGCTTGGCAGTAAATACTGCATGATAGATTAGCCCATCCTTTCCATCTTTGGCTCTGTGGGATCATTCTGGCTTTGTACAACCAACCCCCTGAGACTTTAAACTACCTTACTGGAGAAAGTACCAGAATTAGCTATTCACTAGCTTTTGACATTGCCTAGCAGAACCCCAGGATTCTGATAAGCAGTCCTAAAATTTAAATTTAACCTTAGAATTTTGGCAGTGATAGGACTCTACTATGAAGGCTTATTGAAAAACACAATTGAGCTGAAGTTGAATGCTAAATAAATTTCATCATGGAATAATAGGAATACTTACTTAAGAAAGAAAGTGTCGAACATTTTAGGAAAATGGGTTACTGTTTCCATTCATTTCAATTCTAGAAAATAGCATTATATGCCTGTGGTTTAAAAATGGATTTTTCTCAGCTCTGCATAGTTACAAATTTGAAAATGCCCCCATTTCTGTTCTCCCCAAGTTTATAGTTTGAGGAGACTAGAAGGGCATGAATAAAAATAATTACTACTCCAAGGCAGAATAGTATGGATGTGTAGGATCATAATTCTGGGGAAGAGGAATTCCAGGAAGTCAGTGGGTGACAGAAGACTTCAAAGAGGAGGTGGATTTAGGGCTGGGCTTGAAAAATGGGTAGACTATTTGACAGGTAGAAAGCGAGGGAGGAAAGGGATTCCCTGAAGATGTGTTGTGAATCAAAGCATGTAGGTGGCGAAGTATGAAGCCAGTTTTAAGGAATACAAAGCACTATGATTGGGCTGGTCTTTCAGTGCACATAAGAAATGTTATGAAGGGAAAATGCGGCCCAGAAGGTAGACTGAGTCAGATCATGCGAGGGCTTGGTATTCCAAACTAAGAAATCTGGACCTGATTCTACAAACATTTGATAGCCATTAGAGGGTTTTAAAAAAAATATTATCCAGGCCACATATGGTGGTGCTTCCATCTCAGCATTCAGGAAGCAGAGGCAGGTGGATCTCTATGACTTGAAGGCCAGCTTGGTCTGTACAGTAGGTTTCAGGACATCCAGGACTATGTAGAGAGACCTTGTCTAAAAAATGTCAACTTGGGAAGTATAGGATTGGAACAGGTAAATTAGAGAGGAAACATTGCTGTTATCAAAGAATCTATGCAAGTGGTAAGTGGGACCATCATGGAAAGGTTCAAGAGAATCCAAAGAAGCCTCTGACAGCCATGAAGGAACAGTGGCAGAACCAAGGTATGCTGGGCAATGGATAGAAAAAGAAGAAGACTGAAGGGAGAAACTGTGCTTCCTCTAGAAAAGCAAGGCAATGGAAGAACACCTAGACTCAGGCAAAGGAGAGGGTTCCAGTGCCAGTATGGCAAACCCCAACCCAACATGTGTGGACAAAGAAAGGAATGGTAAAGGAGGGAGAAATGGAAGGTCTCTGAAGAAAAATAGTCCAATGAATGAGATGTATCCATGATAGAGATATATCCACGATGGTAAACGATTGGCTCTCCCCTGTTCTTTCTTCCTCCCAATGGGGTGAAAGGGGCAATGCCATTCCTGGAGCACTGTAAACAAGCAGTAGAGCAGAAAAAGCACTGGACTCAGAGTTTGGTTTCCTGTGTTCTGATCTCAGCTTTGCTACTTACCAACTTTGTGACCTTGGGCAAGTAACTGCTTCTCTCAGGGCTTCTTGTTTTCTACTATGTCAAATGATCTCGATAGTAGCATGTCATCCATTTCTTGATGTTAACTTTTCTCTTCCCTGACTCTCTTTTAGGTACCGTAGTGAAAAGATGACCTTGAGTTATGCTGAATACCTTGCTCATCGCCAGCATCATCACTTCCAAAATGGCATCGGGCATCCCCTTCCGCCATACAACCATTATTCCTGACACTGAGCCGCACAACCAGTCACTGGGCCTCTCTGCAGACCTCTTCCCAGGAGACCCTACACCTTCTTGGTCTAGCTATCTCTTTTACTGTACCATTTTATGATGATAGTTTCCGTTGCCATGGTGAAGCTTCGACATTGTCAGTTAAGACCATCATGGTAACGGGTAGGAAAATGGCATTTGTTAAGAAGATCTTGTTATTATTTTAGATCATTGATTTTTTTTTTTTTTTGCAGCACATACAGCTTTTGGAGTTTTCTTTCCTTACAATATTAGGTATATTTTTGCTTTGCTATCTCAGTCAGGTTTCTGTCTTTCTATCCCTTTTCTTTTTCCTGCTTCCTCCTCCCTTTTGACTGTGGATGGAAGAAAGTATGCAGTTTTTGAGGATTTATTAGGTTTGTCTTTAGTATTCCTCAGTAAGATAGTCATTTTTTGATAGCTGAGTTGGGGATTAATTGATAAACAAATTCAGGTATTTGTATATTACTCTTGAATTTGCCTAAAATTCTCTTTGCTATGGTAGCTTTGTATTTGGGTCAAGTACATGTTTTTCCCATGGTTAAACTAAATGAGCTTTAGTTTAAGTAATGAACATTCAAAGGTCCATGATAGGGCTTGTCACAGAGAGCAAAAATCCATTGACACCTTCTGTGCTGGTTATCGTAGAAGAGACAGCTCATGGAGTTATAGAATCCATTTACAATCTAAAACGCTGTTTTAGAAAAGTATAAGCTACCTTTCAAATGAGCTGCAGAATTCATTTGGAAAGGCAGCAAATATTAGGAAGAGATGAGATGCAGATTTAGTGCCTTTGAGAAGACTGTAAGTCAAATTAAGAGGGGTTTTGAAAAGGCAATTTAGAGAAATATTCTTGTAAAATTTTATTGTTTCTATATAAGAAACAACAGATTACAAAAAGTCCTTACTCCAAAGTATTTTTTTAGGTGAAAAAATTATTTTGAGCAAATAACCAAAAAGACACTTGTCTATTTTGTATTAATTTAAATTTGTTAGCTTTAGGTTTCAATGAGTCATAATTGGTCAGAGACAACTTTAGCTACTATCTAAGACATGATAAAGATAATCTAGTGAAACAAAAGTTCATATATACTATGATTTCAAATTTGTCTATCATGGAGACAATGCTGAGTTTCAGAGATACTATAAAGAGTTTGAATCTCTTTCTGCACTACATACTTTTGATAGAAACACATTTCTATGTTGACAGATATTATGTTGGACCTGTGAAGATGGCATTCAGATATATTAATTAGAGCCCAGCTCATTTGCAGGGCTATTCTTCCCATGGCACAATCAAAGAAAACTTAACTGATGTCAATGGGAAGCCCTTATATTTATCCCCAGGAAAACCACAGATGATTCTGGCAAATGATGACCTTTGTTTATGGTAGTATATATATATATATATATCTAGATATATATATATTTGGGAAAATATATAATTTTTTTCAAATAGAAAGTCAATATAACAAGTGGTGAATGAAATTATGCTGTAGAATGTATATTCTAAAACTATGACATGCCGCTGATTAATGAAATGGTCAAGCTTATACATTTAATTGCTGTGATAAATGACAGACTGGTAGTTTAGAAAATCATTTTCTAGTTTGTAAGACAATTGGATGAATTCGCTCAAAGTATGCAGTTTCAGTTTTTGATGAGAGTTCTTCGAAGTTTGGTATTCCTTCATCCACAGCATCCATTGTTGAAGTAACCATTTTCAGTTATGATGCCTTAACTAAGAAGCCAATTGCTAGCCTGAAAGGCAATCTCAGTAGCCAATTCTACTGAATTCAGAGACTCATCAAAAAAACGTAAGCTTCTGGGCTTTAGAATGGGCTTTTAAGTCCTGTTGTTTCTGCTTGGAAGCATGTTGTGATAGATTAGTCTTTCGGTATAAAAGCAAGCGGCTACCTGATATTTTCTTGCCCTTATAGGGAAAGTGAGCACAAGCTGAATGGTATTGTCTGCTGCAAAAAAATAAATAAGTAAGTAAATAAGAGAAAGAAAAAAGTAAGAAACATACAAATTGAAGAGAGACAGAATAGACCAATATTGTTGTGAAATCCATCTTATCCATCATCTCATCATTTCAACAGCTCCTCGTCCGGGGTGAGCTTATGGCTAGTTTTTTTCTGTTGTTATTGTTTTTAAAGAGAAGATCTATCACATACATATATGCATGTATGTATACATATACTTACACATGCATACATGCATATATGTGTGTTTATGTATTTAACGGTGCTAATCAATCTTGAGCAGGTCACGTGACTGGTCATGCGGACTCTAAAAATCATATCAGAGTTTTTAAAATCCTTGATATATGCAGATATTATACAGATTTTCTTACCAGTGTAATAATGTTATACTGAAGAATAACCATCCTGCAGGCTTCAAAGGACGAGGTCAGCAATATTTCCCACCATGGCTTGGGGAAAAAGGATAGTTTTGTCTCCTTTTGTATTCAAGTTGATGCACAGTGCATTTTTGTGTCTAAGTAGCTGTTGACTAAAAGACTTTGTAGTGTAAAGGGTGTTATACAAACTCTAATGGTGTGCTTCAGACAAACAAATGCTAGGCCCTTTCACTTTTGATGTATATTACAAAGCTGTTAAATATGTGGTTTGAAATAACTTTGAACATGTGGAAATATGTAGCGTGTGTCTTTAACTCGGACAAAGATTCTAATTGCACAAGTTGTGTTCTAGCCAGTTGTGGTTTATTTGTTCAGAAACACAAATGTGAATTGCACTCTTTATCACCAGAATATTGTATAAGTTCCGTGATCTTTAAACAGCTCAGAAGTAATACTTGAACTTCATTTGAGTAGCACAAAGTTTACAGATGCCCTTTTAAATGTTAATTAGTTCCAAGTTAAGTTTTCCGTTTTTTTTTTTTTTTTTTTGTTGCTGTTGGTTTTTTTTTCTTTCTTTCTTTTTTTTTTTCAAATGCAACTGGGTATTTTCTTGGAAAACAGTGTGTATTTTATTTTGGTATGTAGCAAAAGGCTTCCACTTCTGGAAGGTTTTATTGTTCTTAAACAAGGTCAGCCAGGTACCAGATTCTATAAGAACAATTGCCCCCCCCCCTCAAGTGGCCTTCTGATTGCACGAATGTGCAGCTACCCTCTCTAATCGCCCCCATCCAGAGGAGGTCAGTGAAAGCAATGGAGGAAGTGCAAGGCTTGCTCTCTCCCCTCCCCCGCACCTCACCTAGGATGTCCAGTCCAATGCAAATGGTTCCATTGCACGTCCAGCACACCGGAAGTTTGTATACTGGCCTCTTTTCCTGTCTTCAAATGTGCAAGAATTCGAAACTGTCATCTGGAATAGGTTCCATCTCTTACGTGTGTTAGATCAAACCAAAGAAGCCCCCAGCCATGCCCAAATGCTGCTCCAAAAGCCTGCCTTCCGGTCCTTACAAAAACCTTGCAGGATTAAATGTGTTAACTTTTTTATTTTTGTACAGTTTCTAAGTGATTTTTTGCTAGTGACGTTAAAATGAATTAAGTTTATTTGAGGAGTGTACGCACCTCCTCCATTTAAATAAACTGGTGACTTTCCTTTTATTTTTTACAAGTGGAAACCCATTGTGTGCCTCTCGATTTAAGGGTTTCTGATTACATTATTCTTAAGACCAGCATTGATCCTTTATATACAAAGATATGTTTTCCTTGTTTTTTATTACAGTTTCAGAAGAAAATGAACCTTTTATTTTGCTCCAGACCCAGTAACTGCGCTGGTACATAGACGCACTGAGAAAAACAAAACAAACAAACAAACAAACAATACTTTTGTAACCACCTCTGACTGCTTTTGTATATCAAAGTTGATTACTTTTGAGATATTTGGATCTAGTTTCTAAGTTATTTTAGTGTTTTATATGTTCCCCCAAATTACTTTGAATCAGTCACCAGCACAAAGAGTTTTTGGTGATGCAATGGTGAGACTTGTAATGAGCATAAAGCTACCTGGAGTAGCTCTCCCTCCCCTTCTTAGTACCTGGTATTTTGATTACAGTGAGACATCACGGATTACCTGAAACCCATTCATTATAACTAGGTCCTCCCTCCTTCCACACTGAATTGCTTACTAGTTTGAAGAAGCTATTGGAAGTGGGTATTTTATATGACCTGTATGGCTTTACAATATTAAAAATGAACAAAAAAAGAAAAAAATATGAAAAGGTTTATGTGGGTCTGTACGGTATGGCTGTGGAAAGATATTGTAGTAGTTTTGACACTATTGTTATTACCTTTAAAATCATTTACCCAATAAAATGTTAAAACTAAATCTTTGTTTTGGATTTATGTATTTGTTTAACTTGCCTCATGATGAGGTGTTAGAGTCATTGGAACTTCTGTGTTTAAGAGAAAGGGTCTCCTGTGCCTCAGGCCGGCCTCCAAGTCACTTTGTAGTCAAGGGTGATCATTCATGAGCTGTGGAGGCCATGGTCAGTGTTGGTGAAAACGCCTGATTAAGTGCAGACTGTTTCTTTTAACGTCAGTCTCTACCCATTTTCAGAGTATAGGTTGGACCCTGAAACCGTTCTTAATATGGTGCCAAGCCAAGGGCTGTACACAATGGCATTCTACACACCGAGACTGAGCACCATGTGCATTGCTAGCTCCAGAGTGGTACTTGTGACTTGCAAGCTTGAGGAAAATGCCTGGGCTTAGGGGCAGGGCAACCGGTGCTACAACTTCCAAGGGCCAGGTAAAATCTTGCATCCAGAAAGGAGGCACTCACACTGTGGGTCTCTGGCAGAGGCTGCCATGTGTCTATTTCCTCTGGGAAGGCTACCAACCAGATTGTGGACAGTACCTCTGGCTCTTTATCAGTCATATCATGTTTGCTGTCTCACTTTCATCTTGCATGTTTCAGCCTTAGTTGCTACTTGAATATAAACAGGACAGTTTTCAGTTACATTGCCCCAAAGCCCTAGGACCATGTGAATTTTATAACATGTGCTTATGCCAATCACGGTAGCTGAAAACAGCCATCTCAGGCCCTAAAGAACTATTGTGGTTTGGGCTAGTACTCTATTAAGGCAGTATCTTCTGCTTGTGGTTTATTCATTTTCTTCATTTGTATTTAATGGGACATTAAGATTTCTTCATCATTTAGACCATATTAATAGTTTCAGGTAGAATAAAGTAATATAACAGGCCCACAGCATTCTTTTTATGGCATCAGTGGTGAACTCAATGGTCTGGACAGATTTCAACTTCACTAATCACATTCTGCTTCCCTCAATTCTGCCTTGACTTTCAGTAGTCCCTTTGGATTTCATGCCCCACTGGGTACCTTTTAAACAGCTGGGCAACTCAGAAGGCAAGTGTGGCTTTGCAGGCTGAGGCAGTTCCTCTCTGTTCCTGGGACAACACCATCATCATGGGATCCTGTCAGTGTGAGCTAGGGAAAGTGCCCGGGTCAGGAGGGAAGCGCCTCTGGCTCCAAGCTGCCAGCTAGGAGAGCTGGCGAATAAAAGACTGCCTATCCAACATGCCTTCTCCTCCTGTCTTCGGCTCTGCCCTTAAGAGCTGAAACCAGTGTTGGTTTGGATCAGTTGAACACTTGAAAACTGCCCATCTGTGTTTGCCCAGGCTTTTCAGTTTCAAGAGGGAAAGCTAAATGGGAGATTGCAGCTGAGGCCAGCCCTTGTTAGAATATTTGGTTTCAGTCTTGTTTGTTTGTTTGTTTGTTTATTTGTTTGGGTTGGTTTTCCTTTTTTTGTGGGGGGGACTGTATTGAAAAACCTAGCTCCATACCTACAGCCTCCTACTTTCCAGTTCCTAAGACTGCTGGAAGAAATCTCTCAAGAAATGGAAGGAATTATCTCAAGTACCATTTAGAAACCAGGTTACTTTTGCCAAAAGCTTAGATGCCATCTCTTTAAAATGATCCTTTAAGAGTGGAAGTATAGCTCAATTATAGAGTTCTTGTCTAATGTGCCTAAGGCCCTGGATTTAATCCCTAGCACCACCAAGAAAAATGGCCCTGTAACAGTATACAGATTCCTTATTTGTAGGGGGAAACATACCAAGTCCTTGAATGGATGCCTGAAACCTGCCAATGGAAAACCCCAATATATACTATTTTTCCTATTACTGCCCATAAAATTAGGCACTATAAAAGATGAATAACCAAGAATAGCTGCAAGAGCGTCCTGTAATACAATCGCCAGCATCACTACTCCTGAATTTCTGACCATTATTAAGTAAAAGGGTTCTGTGAATCCAAATATTACAGTACTGCATGGTCAGTCTGATAATGAGATGCCTGCTAAGTGGCTAACAGGTAGGTTTTGTAGGTTTTGTGTGTGTGTGTGTGTGTGTGTGTGTGTGTGTTATGTGTGATATAGGTGTTATATATATATATATATATATATGGTGTATATACATTATATATATATATATATATATATGATATGGTAGACAAAGGAATGAATAAGACATAGTGAGGTAGTGTGAGAATTCTTCATGTTACCTCTAACACAATGCGATTGAAAACGCAAATACTGCTTTCTGTCCTGGACTTGGTGGCCAACCCTTGGGAACTGGTGCCCGGCCATGCAGCTGCCTCAGACCCAAGCGCAGGTTGAAAACTTTAAGAAAGAAACTAGTGAGCTGAATGCCTTGAATTTGGTTCCAAGGGGGTAATGCATGCAAGGTGAAGTAGTCTCACATAGTGACCAGGCTTGCCTATGTCCCACCTTAGGATTGGGGGGCAGCGTAGCAGATCCATTGTCACTGTGTTGCTAAGAGCTGAACTCCCATTTTCTAGATAAAAAAAATGGGGTTGTCTAAGAGTATCCCTGAATAGCTTGTAGTAATTGGTTGTACCGAAGGTAGTCTCCACAAATTATCCACGTTAGGGACTTTTTTTGGGGGGGGGGGGCAGGGGTCAAGTCAGGGTTTCTCTGTATGCCCGGCTGTCCTGGAACTCAAGAGATTAGTCTGCCTCCAGAGTGCTGGGATTAGAGGTCTGTACCACCAGTCTGGCTCTGACATGTTAGGCTTTTTGAGGTGCAAGCAAAAAGCGGGTTTGAAGGACATTCGTGCTAGCGCGTTAGAGTATGTTGGTATAGGAGGTGGGGCTTGTAACTCTCTGCATGCTAGGACAAGTTGTTTGCTAGTGCCTAGTCGTGTGCCAGCAGTCAAGATGTCATTAGCTATTGTTACATATCACTAATTTTCCAGACTCTTACATAAAGGCTTTTCCTATGTCACCCCCACCCCAGAAAAGCAAAATAAATGAATAAGAAAACACAAATACTTGTTCATTTCTGGAATCTTCCATTTAATATTTCTGGACTATGGTTGACTATAGGCATCTGGAGTCACAGGTGATTGGAAGCTCTGTTAATGTTCGGCAGGTACTGTATCCCCAACCCTTTAAGTGGAACCACTCAGAGAGCTGGAAGAGGACAGGCGTATGCTTTATTGTAAGCAGGTGTGGACCTGCATTGACAGATTGCCATCCCGGCCACTGATTACTTATTTACACTGAGGGAGCTAGAAGGCCTGCTGTCTAAGTTTGTTCCTACAGCTGGGTAGTGGCTGCCTTGAATGCTTCTGTGCTCATCAACTGCCCTGGCTGCTCTTGCTCCCTTTTCCAACACATCTGGGTCAGAAGAGGTGGCTAATTTGTTCAACCATTAGTCTCCTTTCAAAGTGGAAGAAGGAGCTGGTTTTTTTTTTTTTTAAATCAAAATCATAGTTGTCACTTGACTGTGTTAAAAATAGATGTAAAGTGGTATTTCATCACTCTACACTACAAATGGATGCCAGTTGCTTATAATGTTAAGAACAATAAGGCTGTGTTAGTGACTACAATACAGTTGTGATTGGGGAGAGGGATGGCGGTTGTAGTTAATCTCCAGACTCAATTTCTTTCTCTATTTTAGTTTGGCTGGGCAACAGCAAGAAGGTCTTCATTGGCACAAAGAGCAGGCATTATATTATGCACACAGTCTCATAGCAGTAGGTCCATATTAGCCTAAGCTATAAAAGCCCAGTACAGCTACAACCTGAACCAATGAGTCAAAGCTCCAAGAAGTTCTAGCAGGAAGAAGCATCGCCCCCATTGTTGAGCAGAAATGAGTCAACTTGCTTCTGCTAACTCACCGGTGGGTATCCACTGCCCTTCGAGATGTAACATATGAGATGTTCTCTTCAGTTTGGTTTTTAAGATTACATTTTGAAAATAGTATATACTTAAACACACACATAAGTGTGTTGTTTGAATTGTGTTTATGGAAAATTGGAACAGTTGCAATAACCCAAGGATCTCACGGGACAATCCGAGGATGACCGCTGGAGTCCCAACTGCGAGTTATTCTGGGAGCCACTGGGAAGCCGTCATTAGATGAAATGACTGCCGTTTTTGGCCTTTTCCTCCCAAATGTCAGGCTCAATGTGATCCATCAATATTTATTGAGTGCCTGTGGCCTCAGAGTCAGTGCTTTGCTTGCTTGGTTGCAGAATGAATATCATGTAATTGCAGAAGACAAATTAATAATCTGGGATAAGAATTGGGAGGGACATACAAGTTAGTTCTTGCTGCAAAACTTCAGACTGGATCCGGGCAGCAGTGGCTTATCATCATAGGGTTTTTCTAAATGGCTTCCACCTCAGAATGATGTTAAGAAAAATGGCATTTTAATTTCTGGCCCACCAACATGTCTGGGCCATAAACTCCATATGAAGCACAGTAAGACCGCATTTGTTTTTCTACCCTCACACGTGGCTATGAGAAATGTGCAAGGTCACTAGGATCATTCAAGAATAAGGTTTATAGACACGCAGAATGGTATTTGGAAACGGAAAATTGTGTTCCTTCCTGTGAACCTGCCCTCTGAGAGGCACATGGCCCTCCCTGGCACCAAGACAGAAGACAGATAAGAAGAAATAGAGTCTAGGCCGTTTGCTCCAAACGGCTGCCTTTGGGCCCAAGATGAGAGCGCACAGCAAGATTCCTAGTCCAATGCTGATGCCATAGGAGGCAAAACTCCCTTCCCAGGGCAGGAGGAGAAGCTAACGAAGGCAAATGACAAGGGAAGGGAAATCAGGGTAACTTCATGAATCGCCTGCTACATAGGAAGGGCAAGGAGGCGAAATGAAGGTGTGGCTATGTTGAGGCCAGAAGCACAGAGGGCAATGCCATTTGAACTGGG